TTAGTAATAATCATAGGATAAATGTGGCCACTATCTAATATGGTTTCCATAAAGTGGCAAGTGGGTACAAATGCAATGCTAATCCCTGAAACAGAATATAGTACAACACGGTGATATCTACCAACATAGAAGTGAAGCCATAAGGGTATTTGTGTTTGGAGTTTAGTCATCACACTTTATCTTGCCTTTAGAATTAAATCAACCACATAATGAGCAATGACCAAATAATTATACAATATAACACATTTAATAGTGAATACATATTAAGTCTTTTTTCTTAAGATAGAATACTGATTACATTCTCTCTGGTTTTAAGACTATTCATCCATCTGAAAAATACTGGGTATTTACTACATGACCTGCCATGTGTTACTGTAGAAATATTGAACTGAATATAGCCAGCAACGAAAAACAATACGTGAAAAACTACCCAAAAATTTGTCCATGAACCACAGAACGAGCACCCCTAACTTATGTAACAAATTATTTATAAACAGTATATGCTAAAGATAGTTCCTATTGTTCCTAATGAACTTATATGAATGTGACATTATCTGTGGGTGGCATATAATTAGAAAAACAATACCAGTTTTTGCTGGTATTTCAATTCTATTAAATCAAATGTTTTGGAAAAGGAGAAATCTAAAACATTTTTGTCATTGCATCTATAAAATACAATCAGAAATCCCACCTAAAACCTTGGACACAGGTCTTCTGGTCCCTGATACTTAGTCAAAGCTTTCTGACCAAGCATCCTACAAATGTTATTTTTGTAGATGTACTTCATCAATATCAATGTATTCATAGCGATATACACATAAATGCTTTTTACTATTCCTCTTTTTATAAGTTGAAAAAGTATGCTGAAACTCACCAATATTTCATAAACTTCATACTTTTGATAATAATACAAGAATGTTACTTAGTAATAAAGTGGAAATTTTCTTTGCATTAGGAAAGACGCAAAGTAGGTTAAGAAGAGCATTAGGAAAAGGGCTGGGTAGGGAAGGGAGACAAGGAGAAAAGAAGTAAGACAAGGTCTCCAAAAAACTCATTACCTGTTGGAACAAGATTCAGTGGTAAGGCTAAATCATATTGGGGCTGGTTTGGAAACAGGTTCATGTTTTCATAGGGAGAAGACAAAAGGCTCTAACAGATTATTCATTTTATCTTCCACTAACAAGGGCCCTCCAAAAGGCTTAGAAAAATAGAGTTAAGGAGTTAAAGGTAAAAGGTAAATGTTATCTAGTCAAATCCTCTTATTTTACAGATGAGGAAACTGAGGCCCAGGATGCTTAAGTGTTTTGCTCAGGGTAGTAAGCAGGAGAGCTAGGATTCAAATCCAGCTTCTCTATCTGAAATTCTGTTTTTCTGGGAGCAGTTTATCTCCTAAAACAGTGTGTTTTAAAACAAAACATTTTGTCAAAGGCCCTCAAATGGCAAAGAAATTCAATATAAGTTGAGGGATTTCTCCAAATCGGGGTGCTCCAGATAGACTCCGGAACCAAGAATCTTTTTTTAATGTAGCACTAATAAATCTGGGTCCAGAAGACTTACGGAGAGACTAGGTTAAGCAATAGCAGTGATTATTCAGGAAGAAACCATCTCAGATCATAAACTCCTACAAAACAGCAAAAACCAGCCTAGGTAATTCTCTTTGTATAGCAGAAGCAAGTGATACTTATAAGTTTGTACTTAAGAAACTTTTTTTTCTCTTACTTTATTTATTGCTTTCAGTATTTAATTTTTATTTCTTAGCTTAAAAAAAGCTTTGCGGATTTATTTTATTTTATTTTTTTGCTTTTACACTATGAAATAGCTGATTGTTGCCACTTTGTGAGAGTTCTATTGTAATAATGAAAAACAGTTAAGTAAAACCCATGACACAATGACCTCATCTGAAAATATATGTGACATTTCACAACTGTACTAACCTCCTCCAACTCTGTATTTTAAAAAAATTAACTGAGATACAGTTTTCTCCCTCATAACCCCTAGCCTCATTAAAAAAGAAAAACAAATTCTTATCACAAATAAGCACAGTCAAGCCAAGTTTCCTCAATGTCTGCATGCAAATACATATATAAATGCATATGTATATATATATATATATCCCTATGTTTTAATCTGCACCCTAAATTCATCATCTCTCTGTAATACATAGCATGTTTCATCATAGGTTCTTAGAAATCATGAATTGGTCATTGTATTCATTATGGTTCTAACAGCTCAGAGTGGTCTGTTTTTACACAGCAGTTGTTATGGTATAAATTGTTCTGCTGGTTTTGTTCATTTCATTCTTTGTCAGTTTATAAAAGTTCTCAAAATTGTTCATTTTTATAATACTGATATTATACTATAAATCATTCTTCTGGCTCTATTTACTTCTGTCTGCATCTGTTCATATGTCTTTCCCTGTCTTTTTGAAATTATCGATTTCCTCATTTCTTACAGCACAATAGGATTCCATTACATTCATATACTACAACTTATTTGGCCATTTCTTAATCAACATTCATTTACAAGTGTTTTGTTTCATTTTAGCCAACTTTGGCGATCTTTCATTGGGGTTCTTCTTTAACCACAGTCACCAACATTCTCCTCTACTGTCATCAGCTTCAGTTTTAGTCCTTTCTTTTGGATGAGGAAGGATGGAAAGTCTTTTCATTTAATTCTCAATGAAACCCAAGGGTGTCTTCTTCTGGTGTAATGCATTTTAAGTCTCAGTTTCACTTTCGTCCCTCAGGAATCTCTTTCTTTTGTGGAAGTGAAGAATCTTTCCTTCCGTCCTTCCTTCCTTCCTTCCTTCCTTCCTTCCTTCCTTCCTTCCTTCCTTCCTTCCTCCCTCCGCCTTCCTTCCTTCTTTGCTTCCTTCCTCCTTCCCTCCCTCCCCCTTCCTTTCTTCTTTCCTTCCTTCCTTCCTCCCTCCTCCCTTCTTTCCTTCCTTCCTTCCTCTCCCTCCTCCCTTCCTTCCTTCTTTCTTTCCCTCCCTCCTTCCTTCCTTCCTTCCTTCCTTCCTTCCTTCCTTCCTTCCTTCCTTCCTTCCTTCCTTCCTTCCTTTCTTTCATATCACTGATAGCTAAGCTGGGGTTTCCCTTTCTTCTGAGGTGTTTGCTTTTGCCTTGGTATGTTTTTTTTAACCATAAGTAGATTGACTACCTGTCACTTTCATCTCTTTCCCTCAGGGACTCGACTGTCAGTGGAGGCCTTTAGTCTTTCATTCTCACTTTTACTTTTCTCCTCACAAATAACTTCTTATTGCTTAGATCTGAAAACTTTCACTTTCATCCCTTTCCTTAAGTCATCATTTCCCTTACCTTAGTCTTCAGCTCCTTTGCAAATGCATTATTTTCTTTACCAGCAAGAATTTATTTTTTTAAATGTAACTTAAAAAAGCAAAACTTAAAAAAATCTTTGTCATATATTCATATTAAATGTTACTCTATGTATATATCTCTATCTTTGTTGCCTTTTCTTAAATCTATAAACTATTTGTAGATAGCAGCAGAATCATCTTTGAGTTTATATATCAGCTAGCATAGCAATAACAACACACCATTGTTAATACCATGCAAATGGTATACAATGACCATAAAATGCTTAATATTTCGTGTTTCAGAAGTTTTCAAAACCATGTACATATGAGGTCATAACTACAAAAACACAGCAGTTTCAAATGTTCATAAAAGACCTGCTTTAATCCCTAATTATGCATTGTCTCTGGAATCCAAGATGATAAATATTACTAACAAAATCAAAGCATCATCTGACTGACAATAAATTCAATTTGATTCTATTCTGTCTTTTTAAAACAACCAAAAACTTCTGGAATCTCTAAGAGAAACTTGTTCCTTCGTTAGCTTTTTTTTTTTTGGTGGGGGTGGGTAAATTGGAACCTGTGATTTCCCTGGTATAAAGTAATCCTGAGTGAGGAAATGCCCTCTACCAATCCAAGTCAGCATCTTTTAGTCTTAGAGAGTTGCCTGGAACACAGAGGCACACAGTCTGTATGTGTCAGAGAAGGAACTTGAACCCTGGTCTTTCTGGTTCCAAGGCTAACTCTCTATTCACTACGCCAGGATGTCTCTCCTCTATGAACTTTCATTAGAGAAGCAATGAACAGGTGATTGTGTAATTTAGAAATGATGGGGAAAATCTGCTGTAAAGATTAGAAATGTAAGGATTTTTTTCCCATGCTGATTCCCTTGGAAACTATTGTCAGAATAGACATTCTGTTGTACTGATTAATGGTTACAATTCTGAGTAGAATTTGCTTTTAAAAATCAAACACCACAATCTGGCTCTCTTTTTAAATGAAAAAGGATATTACAGCAAACAGCAGGCAAATAGCTTCTGAACAAGAAAGCAATAAATTACATACTCATGACTTAAAATGCAGGATGAGTTAGAATGTGAGAGGAAGGAAACTTCTTACAATAATGTAAAATGGGGGAATGGTTATCGGTGCACTTATATTAGTGGTTCAGAAGCACTATTTGTTTGCTAAAATTCATACTAATTCTTAATGAAATAGACATACTTGGAAGATACAGTGTAAGAAATGCTTTTTAATAAGATAAAAAGGTTTCATTTTTTTAAAGAGATCTTGTCTAAAAAGAGATGATAATTCTAATAAAATTATTTAAAATTTTTCCATTTTAAAAATCTGTCAAATTGTACTGTCTCATAAGTTCATGCCTGTGAATTTCTCAGTTGTAATTTTTGAGTGGTTCAAAGATCTGTCACACTTACCAATTGGTCTTTTCTCTTGGAAAAAAATACACATGTTCTACAGCTGTGACCATATTGACATTTTTCCATTCCCTTAAATAACCATCTTAGCAGTGTTGATTCAGAGAGGAATGTGGTCTAATAATGTCAGTAGAATGATAACTATGACATCAGGAGAATGCTTCTAACAACACTTTGAAAAGAGAAGGTTGCTTATACAGAACACAAACATCTTTACAAGAAAAAAAGCAAAAGGGAATTTTGATTACCTTTACATTAGGTTTCTTTGTTGAAACGCCTCTATACCAACCTAAAGTAAAGGAAAAAAATATGTTAGAAGCATGCCATTATGAGATTTTCTCAAGACGTATCTGGAGTACATTTACCAAAATGGGTTGAGTGTCAACATAACTCAAACTATCAATTAAAGTTCTTTTTTTTTTTTCAAATTCTGGATTTGGGCCAAGTATTTGCCTCTTTAGAGGATGATCCATAGTGAATATGACACCACTCATTTTTGTCACATGACTAAATGCTGCTTAGCTGTGGAAGAATCATAGAGCAAGGAATTTTAAACATTATTTTACAGAGAATGCTAAAGCCTAGGAATTGGCCTATTTGATGTCTCACAGTGTGAATGAATGAAGCTCTTATACAAATCCCAGATCTCCCAACTCCTACTTTCACTATGTATTCCCCTCCAACATATTCCCCACTCAACTCTTCCTAGAGCTTTCACATTTCTTATTCCCAGGATTTCAAAGGGTCACCAGTTCATGGAACTGATAGTGGAGGATCTGTTCCTATAACTTGGTCTCATTTTAGCTCTTTAAAAACAGACTGAATAATGTAATTTTCAATTTTTCAAAAGCAGTTATTAATACCCTACTAATTATCAGTCAGGAAGTTCTCTTATTTAATCCAAAATATTTCCTGTTCTCTTCATTCTATTATTTCCATTGTTCTGTGTTACTGACCATGATTCTCTTTCCTTAACCATTCTAGTTGTGTGCCCCATAAGGCTGTATGGCACCAGATAAGCTAGGAAAGAGTTATCATATCTTCCCTTCAGTAAAAGCAAACCACAAACAACGAAACAGAGATCCACCCCTGTCCAGTCCAGCAGCTAGGAAAACAATTTTGAGAAAGTCCAATTTACTGGTATCTCAATTTCTTTCATCCTGAGATTAGAATGATCTCCTTTCCACTGCATACCAGTATAGGAACAAAGACCCTCTTGAGCCCATCTAATTCCAACCCCAAATCCCAACCTACCCTGAAGGAGATAATCTATTAAACACTGGAATGAGCAAATTAGGGATATTATTACTATGCAAATCAATCAATTAACAAACATTTATTAAATGCCAATTATGTGCCAGGCCCTGTGCTAAACTCTGACCACAGAGATGTCAAAGATAAAGGGAAATGAATCACATATACATGAATATTTGTGACAGCACATTTCCTTGTAGCAAAGAACTGGAAATAAAAGTATTGGCCCATCAGTTGGAGAATGGCTTAACAAATCATGGTATGTAAGTGTAATACAATATTGCATCTTAAGAAAAATTATGTCTGATGATGGTCAAAGAAACCTGGGAGGACTTGCATGAGCTGATGCAGAGTGAAGTTGAAGAAAATTAATACCACCATTACAATAACATAAAGGAAAAGAATTTTGAAAGGCTTAGAACTCTGACAATGCAATGACCAATTGTGACTTCAGGTTTCTTGGCTAAAAAATTATGGTTTAGAAGTGCAATATAAGACATAATGTTCAAATGTAGCCAATGTGCTGGAGGTTTTTGCTTGACTATATTTATTTGTTAGAAGGGAGAAAAAAATTAAACAAGCCACAAATGAATTCCCCAAGAAAAAACCCAAAGAACAGATGGATTTACATTAGAAAACAATTAGTTCCAGTAATACACAAACTGTTTGAAAAATAGGCAAAAATGAGTCTTACTCAATTCCTTGGATTTTTCTCCTGAAAACCACCAATTCATACCTTTGATAATTTAACAATTGGGAAATGGCTCTTTTTCTTATAAATTTGACTTAGTTCCCTATATATCTTAGAAATGAGATCTCTGTCAGAAAATTTGTTGCAAAAATTTTTAATTAATAGTTAGAGAGACACAAATTATGCTAACTCTGAAGCACCATCAGATTGGTAGAGATACCCACCAGATCAGCCAAGGTGAGAATAAGGAAAATGACAAATGCTGGAGGAGCCCTGAGAAAACAGGTACACTAATTCTCTATTGCAGGAGCTATGGACTAGTTCAACCATTTTGGAAGGCAATTTTGAAATATGCCCCAAAAGCTACTGAATTTTGTATGCTCTTTGATTCAGCAATACAGCTACTAGATCTACACCCTAAATAGATCAAAGAAAGAGGAAAAGGACCTAAATATACAAAAAATATTTATAGCAGCTCTTTTTGTGGTGCCAAAGGATTAGAAATTAGGAGGGTGTCTATCAGTTGTGCAATTGCTATACAACTTATAATATATGAATGTGATGGACTACTATTGTGCTGTAAGAAATTATGAAGGAGGTGGTTTCAGAAAAACTTGGGAAGACTTGTTTGAATTGAACTTGTATACAGAGTGAAAAGGGCATAACCAGAAGACCAATTTATGCAATGACAATAATATTGTAAAACTAATTAACTTTAAAATTCTTAGTAACTCTGATCAACACAATGACCAACCAGAATTCCAAAGGATTCATGATGAAACATGCTATCCACCTGCAGATAGAGAGGTGATGAACTCAAATTGCAAACTGAAGCATATTTTTTTTCTTTCTTTCTTTCATTTTTGGACATGGTTGATGCAGGAATTTGTTTTGCATGACTTCATGTTTGCAATAAGTTTTGGTTTTTTGCCTTCTCGATAGGTGGGGGACAGGAGAGGGGAGACAGAATTTGGAACTGTAAATAAAATAAAATTGAATTTTAAAAATAAAATAAAATGTGAAGAATGAGCCTGGTTCACAAATAAATTGGAAACTATAATTATACTGTTTAATCTAACAAATGGTTTTTATCTATATATGCTGGAACCAGAAGGACAAAGACAACTAGATAGAATCTGCAGAACACCATCAAAAAGGATCCCAACTTTAACATGCCAATAAATGTAATTGCCATTCTCCATAACGCTGTTAGATCAAAAAAAAAAATACTACTACTGTTAAGGAAAAGACAGATCTTGTCAGAATCAGATAATATTTCTCATATGAGAAAAAATATTGAAATACAATATGTTAATAGGTAAATGAAGAAACCTAGATACAAGAAAAATTAAACTTATAGAGCTGAGTATAATCCTACAAGAGATAAAATGGCCTTTTAAAAGAATTATTGATTTCCAAGCACTCCTGTCAAGAGAACCAGTGATGGACAGAAACTTTGCCTCAGTAAGACAAACATAACAGACAACATAAACTTAGAACTTTTTTTTAAGTTTTGAACAAGCTGAAAGGACTATATGTTGGTCAATTGTGTAATTCTGAAAGAATAGACTACTGCCTCTTGGGAATCCCATCATCTCTCAGTATCAGTGATATAACAAAAAGTGATGAGATCAAGGATGTGGAAGGAAAAACAGGAAAGCAATGGATGGGAAGAAGGACGAACTTATTTCACATCATTGGAGAATCACAGGAAAATATTATTCAAATGAAGGGAGGAGATGAGAGTGAGAAGAACCTTATGAACTCCACTCTCATCTGAACTAGATAACAGGAAGTTAAAAAAGATTTAAAAAAATTATAAAACAAGGGACTGGGCTTTAACTGAAAACAGGAATAGAGAAATTTGAAAGGGAACATATAGGGCTGGCAAATGAATAGCTAAAAGCAAAATAAATCACCAGAATGTAAAGCCAGCTGATCATCAATAGAAGAGAGAAAGGGTGAGACCAGCGATTTGAGTGTGGGCCAGGAGAAGAGGGAGAGGGTTGGGAATGGATTGTCCTCAAAAAATAAAAAATACATCTATTTAGTGGTGATTTCATTAACTTTTCCTTTTCTTTTTTCTATCTGGGCCATATCCCCATCAGTCACCACTTCCTGCTTCCCTGATATGATTCTGGTGGTCTAGGGCTCACAGCGCTACTGGGCCTATTTGTTGGATGCAAGATGGGTCCTGGGACAAGCAACCACATCTTGCCATTGGCTAGGCTTCCAACGTTCCCTGGGCAACAACACTGACAAACACCACCTCCTCCCTCCTGGCAGGACAGACAAAAATAAATTCTATTCAAAATATCTAAAAAAAAATCCATTGAGTATCTGGGATTTAAGCTACCCAGATACATTTAGGACTTATATAAATACAATTATACAACATTTTATGGAAGCTAAGGAAGCTTCAAATAACTGGAGAGATATTCATTGTAAACTGTTAGGCTGGGCACAAAAATTATGATATTACCTAAAGTAATTTATAAATTTAACACTACACTAACTACCAAAAGGTTACCTTATACAACCACAAAAGTCAGTCAATAAACATTTATTAAGCAATTGCTACACGCCAAGCACTGTGCTAAGGGCAGGGAATACACAAAAAAGCAAAAGACTTGTGACCTACGTTGCTTGTGACCTTAGTCCTCCTTGTGACCTCCTTGTGACCATGAGGGGGTCACAATCTAGTGGGGAGGAGGGAAGCAGCATGGAAACAACCAGGTAAAAACAAGCCATAGGCAGGAAAAATAGGAAGTAATTACTAGAGGGAAGGTGCTAGAATTAAGAAGGATTCAGAAAGGCTTCTTGTAAAGATGGGATTTTACCTGAGACTTGAAGGGAGCCAGGGAAGCCAAGAGGCAGAGATGAGGAAGAAGAGCATTCCATGCATGAGGGAGAACCAGTGAAAATGCCCAATCAGGATGGGGCACTGTTCAAGAAACAGCAAGAAGGCCTTTGTAGCTGGATCAAAAAGTGTATGGCAGGAGGGGATAGCATAAGGTGTCAGAAGACTGGACAGGTAGAGAGGAGTAGGCTATGCAGCCAAACAGAGGATTTTGTGTTTCATCCTGGAAGTGGTAAGAAGCCCCTGGAATTCATTGAATAAAGGTTTGACATAGGCCTGTGCTTTAGAAAAATCACTTTGAAAGGCTGATGGACTGAAGTGGGGGAAAGGCTTATGGCAGATAGACCAACCAGCAAAGCATAGTCCAGGCATGAGAAGATGAGAGCCTGCACAAAGGTGGTGGCAGTATCAGGTGAGAGAAGGGGACATATTTGAGAGATACTACAAAGGTGAAATAAACTTGGTAACAGATTGGATATGGGGG